TCTTAAAATTCTTCACAATGTTCTTTCTCACGGAGGGCTTTGTTCTTCCGGTCGGCGAGTAGGATACATACCATACCACTAGGAAGTAGACTCCATCCTTTTTTTCTTCTCCCCCCATACTAGTAGGCCCAAAAGTAGCGTAACAAACGTTGCGACATTTTGCAGACGTGTCTATGTACAGACACACGTGCATAAGCATGTATAAAGGACGTACACGTTTCAGTTGCCTTCGTAACTTCTAACCGTATCATGAACTAGAAATGGAATGCCTAAATGGAAGGGGTTACATTTCTGGATAAACTGAATCTTCAAAGGGGAGCTTCTAATGTGTCAGTTAAACCGCGATGAAGAGGTGTACCCCTCCTAAAAAAAAAAAAGAAAAAAAAAAGTGGCACACTCAGCAAATATTCTGTTAGCCTACCCCCCGATGTATGAGCCACCTTAAAAAATGAGCCGCCATTCACAGTATTTCCTCCTTCACCGATTTCTGAAATGATCAGGGTCTTCTGAAAATTGAACAAAGTAAGAAAACCAACATATGTGTGCTTCTTAAAAAAGGTAAAGAAAAAATATATACGTAGTGTAATGCAGGAGATTTAACTCTTTTTTTTTCTTTTTTTTTTTTTGACAAATCGAGAGAATTATCCTTAGTAAAAATACTCATGTATCCTAAGTAGTCACCATACAGTCAGTCAGCCAGTCAACTAGTCATATCTTTATATAAAGGAAAAGTAAAAACAAGCTTCCTCCAAGATGAACAAACTGGTGAGTCAAAAAGAAGAGTAAAAATGAGTAAAAAGTGAGTACTCATTTGTAACTACTTGTGCTTACCTCAAAATGCGCCTTTTACTTCCCTTCGTTAGCTCACGACGGTTTTGGCCCTATTCGTTTTGTTGCAAACGAGTTGCATTAAGGCGGAAAACCATGAGATCACTCACAAGGTAAGAGCAAAGTGGCAGAAGGGGGACAGAGAACAGTGGCACGCATCTTTTCAATGGCGTTATCCCTTATGGTTTGGGTACACTTGATCAGGGGACGTCATACTGTGGGAACATAATGTGCCCTTTTGGACAACCTCTCTCTTGCTTGACTCGTTCATGTTTTTTTAGCTATACACGCCGCTCCTGCATGAAGGGTTCATATTTTTTCTCTTTAACAACTATTCCCTTTAGTCTACTTGCATACAATTTTTAGCTAAGCACTCCGTTTTTACCGGATCCCTCCCTATTTTTTCTTTCTGCTAACCACTGCTGTTTTGGTTGATCCGTCCACATTTCTTTTCCTTTTTTTTTTTTTTGCGCAGACTTACTTCGACATAAGCATAAATGACAAGCCCATCGGGAGAATAACGTTCGGGCTGTACGGAAAAGTAGCCCCCAAGACGGTGGAAAATTTCGTCAGCATATGCAAAGGAACAGTAGTGAATGGTAAAATGTTGAACTACACGAATTCGATTTTTCATCGCATAATTCCAAATTTTATGGCGCAAGGTGGCGACATAACGCAATTCAACGGAATGGGTGGTTTGAGCATTTATGGAAATAAATTCGAGGATGAAAATTTCACGTTAAAGCATACTAAGCGGGGAATGCTCTCCATGGCGAATGCAGGGAAAAATACCAATGGAAGTCAGTTTTTTATTTTATTTATTCCGACCCCTTGGCTGGACGGAAGGCACGTTGTCTTTGGGGAAGTAATTGATGGATTGGAGAAGTTGGTTCAGATTGAAGCGGTGGGCACCGAATCGGGGGCTCCCGTAAAACGAGTCCTGGTCACAAAATCAGGTGTGTTATGAGGTCTCCTGTGCACACACAGCATTTATCGAATTCTGCCTGTGTGCGATTCTTACCTGTGAGCTGTGGCGCTATTGCCGTTTTATAGAATATTCCCCCTTTTTTTTTTTTTTTTTAAATATAACTTTAAAAGGGTACATAAAAAATTCGTAAAGGGGAAAAAGAAAACAATGAGAAGAAGTTAATGAAGCTATTAAAATGTAAAAAGGCGAGGAAATGCGAATAGCAAGAAATAATTACAAACGAGGGTATGCGTACGCAGTTATACGGTGAGCACTTCATGCGCAATGGGGGAGAAGGAAAGTTGTTATTCTTGTGTCCTTCTAAACCCCCTAATATATTATCTTGATGCCGATGTCGATTAGATAGTCTTTTCCATGTTGAAAAAGATAGGGAAAATACTCAGCGGGTGCATGGGAAAACGATATGAACGTTATTCAAAAGTATGGCCTCCACCGGATACACAATATTTTTTAAGTAGTGCAATTCTGAGATTGTTCATTCTTCTCCTCGTACGAACGAGCAAGCTGGTCAATGGAGTCTCTTTAATACGTCACTCCTTACACTTCTTAACCCTCTCTATGGCCAACTTCTTCGCCGTTTCGAACCCGTGATACTCGGCTGAAAAGGACCTGCACACGGGGAAGTTCCTCTGCCGGTAGAATGCCACCCAGCAATTGGTTACGACATCGTAGTGGACCCCTGCGCGTGGGAATCGGTGCACATATGTAAGTAATCATACGGGGAATAAAGCATATGTGTAGGCACACCCCTGGGTTGATAACTTCATGTGTGGTTACACACGCATTGTCATTAGAAGGCCCCATGAGAGGGGGAAGCGGAACTGCGCCTACCTTCGACGCCGGACTCGTAATGAGGTCTCTCATTAGTGCGGTTGTTTTGCTAAACGGGGTGAACAGAATAAATGGACAAATCGGGGGGGATTCGAAAAGGTGTAGAAAATAAAAAAAAGAAAAAGGATGTCCAATTAATGACCCCACATGTGTAGAAAAATACACAAGACGGGCGTCATATGAAAAAAAAAAACTCTCCATTTCTTACCTTTAACGATTCGAAAAATTTGATGGCCTCCCTCTTGGCTGATTCTATTCCATACTTCTTAATGGGGAAGGGCTTCGCATTCTGCTTCTTATTTTCAAACCAAAACACTTCCCACTGCTCATTGAGTTGTTCGTACTTTATATTTTCATTGATTGAATCGAAGTAGTCTTTCCTGATGGTAACTTCTTTGGCGCGAATAAGGTGCACCGGGTGGAACCTAAATTGGGAGTAGCATACAGGGTGAGAGACGGTGGAGTTGTTCACTGATGGATGGTGTGCACCCTTCCATTTATTAATAACGCGTGGGTCCAGGAGGGATGTGTGCATATGTTGGTTTGTTTTTATGCCCTTTCCTTGCGCTTTCTCCTCCATTTTTTTCCGTTTTTTTCCGCCCTCTACGAAGGGGCCGAACCTGTTCTCTGGATCCGAGCGAAACCTGTTGCCTATTCCCCACTTAAAAACATACTGCATAAAGCTGGCCTGTTCGTTTCCTTGGGGGGTCACCGTACTAGGAAGAGTCACGTCGTTTGTCCCCGCTTTGCGCATCAGTGGATTCCTCCGAGTTGTGGTAAGGCAAAGTGAGCTTTTCCTATCTCTACATAGGGGGCTTACGTGCAAACATCGCTTCAGCCGTAGATAAGGGGCGTTCCGCAGTACGGGAGTGGTTCCCCCTTTGCATACATTTAACCGCGCGGTCCATATGTGTACGTATGGAGTCATATCTTCCTATGCATCAGTTTATGCGCGTGTAGGCAGATATCCCAGAAGAGGTGGTGAACGCGTTGCCCCATCTACTGCTTGGCAAGGACCACATTGCTGACGCAGCCAGGTGGGGATGTACACTTCTCTGTAGTGATGCGCTGGAATTTTACTAAGCATGGTGAAAAGGAGAAAAAAAAAAAGAATACACTCATTTGCTTATCCTGTTAAGATGCCCTCTCGAATTATAAAAAAAAAAAAAAGAAAAGAAAAAGAACTAGGCCGTCTTTATGCGTCACTGTATATATGCCCCCTTTTTTCTTTGCCTCTTCTCCTTCTCCGTTTTTCTTTTTAAAATTTTTTACCTTTGTGCGCACGGCTAAAGGAGTGTTGTTTTTATCCCTCGTCCTTCCTGTCCTTCCTCGCTACCTCGTGCATATGTTTTATTTTTCTCACATGATGAGTCGCTGCATTCGCTTTTTGGGAGTGGTAAACAGGACGGAGTTTGGGGAAGTTAGAAATCTTTCCGTTTTTTAACCTCCTTAATGTGCTTGCATGTGAAGCAAAACAAAACAAAGGACATGTGGCTACAGAGTATGATGGGAAAAATATGTGCGTATATAATCCAACGGGCCAGTTTCTGCGGCGGAGCTAATTTTTCCCACCGCTCATGGATATGCGCACATCGTTGTCATGCCCGAGAAGAAAGAGGCACGCATCCTTTTGCGTTCTTCCACTTAAAGGGCCCTCTCTAAGAGTCGAAACTTCGTTGTACGTATTGCCGCGTATAGTGGCACCTCCAGGAACGTTCACCCCACCAAGGAAGAGTTCACAACGCGACTGTTACTCTGACCCATTTGTTTAATTCCAAGGGGTTGCTGTATACATATACATATATAGAGACATGTATACATAATATATATATATTTCCTTTTTAATTTTAGCGGTAAGAGGTTCACAGGGTTTGGATTGCCCACTTGGAGTCGCCGACTCAAAATTGCCAGTACTCTTGCAATTTTTGCCTTTTACCCGTTTGAAATGAGCAAGTTCTGCGTACCCCTCGTGATGCGTCGCACCGGTTTGTTTGTTTTTATTTTCACGCGCGCCTTTGCTTCTGCTTTTTTTTCCCTTATCCCTCTTTTCTATTTTTACGCTTACTTTTACGTTTACTTTTTGTTTTATTTTTACCTTTATCTTTATTTTCACTTCTGCTTTAACTTTAAACTTTAACTTTTATTTTTGCCATGACTTCTATTCTCATGTTCACTCCCCTAATATCTTAACATCTCAATCCCGTATGATAGCAACCGCTGATCTCTTCATCTGCTGGGCGTCCCTCTGTGCGCCAAGTTTCGCAAACGTCGGGAATTCCCAGTTGTGAACGTCCTCCTTAGCCTGGGCTCTTAAGCCCGCATTTGCGCAGCCCTTCCACATGTCCTCTCAAGTTTGAGGGCAATTTTTTTCGACCAAACCCTTCGAACTCTGCGAAGAGGTAGGACATATACATCACCATTTCGCATAAACGTCGCATCAAATCGACGTGTTTTTTTTTTTTTCCATCTCTTCCTTTTTCTTCCTTTGTCCCATTATGGAGTATCACATTGAATATACTTCGAACGAGTCCGGTAAATCTGAGAAGGAAGCCTTTGTACAGAACTCCTTTAGCCAAACAAATGGAAAAGGAAGGAAGAGCCTCCTCTTGGTTCTGTCCGTGTCGACCATATGCCTTGTGGCCGGATCTGCATTTTACTTTACCCGCACGGGGAAGGGCAATGATGGTCCCCTGTACGGGAACGCACTTGACGAGAACAGCAGTGATGATTTCATTATCACCACTTTGTTGAAAAGCCCACGTGGAAAGAAATT